ATTGACTATTGATAATATTATCGGTAGACAATGTATGTACCTAATAAATTACTGTTTCGACAAGAAATTAAAAAATATATCTATAATATATACTTTAGAATTTATACAAAAAACCAAATTTGTTTTTGATTAATGTATTGGATATACATAATATAATTTAAAATGTACTGTTACTTAACTTTTGGATTTAGGGACTGCATTTATTAGCTTGAAGGTATACATTGTACATTTGGCGATATTTTTTTAAGAATCTCTACTGATAAAAACTAATGATTGTTATTGTTGAGTACAGATAAAATAATGTACGTACTAATTTATTGTAATTGAGATGGAAACATCATAGGTATCTATAAATAATTCAATTTTTAAGAATAAAAACATTTATACATAAAATATTCAACAAATTATAACCTATCCTTTTCAAATATAATGAACAGTAGGTGGGTATAGCTTTTCGTGACTTTTAATTTTCCATTATGAAAATGTTACTTAAAACGGATAATAGTTATTAGTTTATTATAGTAATATTATTATATTAAAATACGCAATAGCACACTATGGGCTATTTAACATTTCCACGGTCACATATTATATAGAATTCGGAACAGCAATTCAGTTAATTTTGAAGCAAATTACGAATAATTGTTCATTGTATTTTTTTTAAACTTTTTTCAAATTTGTAATTGGTGTGCGTGGTATATTATTACAATACAAAACATTGCATATTATTCCTACTAAATATTATGTATATTTTAAAATATTTGTATTCTGTGGAATGTATATTATATATATATATATTTTTTTAATATTAATTTAGTAAAATAGGTACCTAATATAGTATTTACTGCAGTTTGATCTATTTAGCTGATTCACATATCAGTACCATGGGAATATAATCTTCACAATATTTAGATGCGTAGGTACCTATTTTTCTATCTAGAATATTTTTAAAGCCTTAAGTGCTGAATATTTGATTTAGCAATGGTCTATATTGCACTGTGGCTATGTATGATAATATATGACTGGGATTTTACATATTGGTTAACACCCGGCTATATCCGTCGTACCTATCAAAGAGATGGTTTAATTACAATTTACACGGTGTCCATAAATATCATCCTTGTTATAATTAAAAAAAAATTTTTATTGGTTATTATTACTTATTACAAATTATAACTGTATTATATGTCCACATTTATTTGCTAATCATTATTTTGTTGTAAGTACTAAAATTTTAAAAAAAGCCAGGAAACTCGCTTCTAATGTATACGTAGTTATTGTAAGTTTCAAATGTAAACCTGATATCTATCTCATTGTACTGAGTGACTTGAAACGGTCAACGGATGTTTACATTTTTATTTCAATTATTTCATTCATTTTATACGTAAAACGATTCAAATGAGAATGAGACGAGTCATTACCATAGGTATATTTATAACATAATATAAGTTATAATTTAAAACTAACGTACCGTAGAATGACATGTACGTAATAATAATGATGATGATAATAATAATAATAATAATAATAAAATGATTTATATGGTATAATAATAGCTTAAAATTATTCTAAATATTTTAAAAATTTCATTAAGAAAATGTTAATACACGCAATTTCAGAATTTTTTTACTTTTTAATGTTTCTATGGTTAATATTTTTTGAATTTCAACTTAAAATTTTATTTTTTGTTTATATCCAATATTTTATGTATACTTATTTTTAACATTATTAAATTGGTGTAAAAACAACTTATGTAGAACCTTGTATTAAAGAGCAAACTTTTACCGGGGAGTCGAGAAGCAAAATCTTTATGAACATATAAATTGAACATTTCAAATGTCTATAATAGCTCAAAAAGAAAAACTTTTTTGAAAGTTTTATAATGTTTAAAAACTAAATACTAAATAAATATTTAGTGAACTTTTTAAGTCACAATATTCCTTTCTGAATTTCCAAAAAAAAACTTAAACGATTTTATTGGAAACTGGTGAATTCTCATAATACAATTTCTTCGTTGTTTTTTGTTTGTTTTTTCCTATAATTAAGAAAAAGTACAGAGAATTTCCCACACAAAGAACATACCCATTATACCGATTTTTTTCACCATAAACCATGGTTGTGTGATGTGTGATGACAGACTAAAAAGAAACCATTTCAAACCAATACGTTTCTTGTTTCATCGTATAAAGAATATTCTTAATAATAAATCTATAAATTACAAAAAGAAAATCAATTTTATCAAATTTCATACGGAATAATGCAATAATTTATTAAATTAAAACAAAGTTATATAATATAGTATTGTTCAAAATTAATAAAGTTTGTCACACGGATGTTTATTGTTAAGTAATTTAAAAGGTACACGTGTGTCTTTTAATGGATATACTAAAGTTAGGCGTTTTTTCTCCGACAATAACATGCTTGGTATTGTTCCCTTTGAATTAAATACAAACTACTTTCAATGTAAAAAAAATTCCTTAATTAAATATTGGCATTCAGTGGCTTAACTAATTGAAACATAGGTATACATTTTGATACCAGGAATACCTGGTACCCATGCCCTGTATAGTTATTTGCGTGTAATTCACAGAAATAAAAATGAATCAATACACATAATAATGCAATATATTACAATATATAAAATTAAAAAGTTAAGTCTTAATTATTTAAAAATATAATTGACTTTTTGTCAAAAAACTTGGGAAAATGCCAAATTTATTCTTTGCTTATACTTAACAATAGTTAATATAATATACAGCGTACCTACTTAGAATCAAATAATAATAAGTGTTGGAAATAAACGACATAAATAGATTATATTCTATTGTTATAGATTTATAAATATTATGTTTTGAATTGATTAGTCCTAGACAATCGTTTATCTTTATTGATTCGTGATAATGAAAACCTATATAATTATTTCACAATTAGAGCTCTGAGTAATTTGTGTTGCTAATTCCAAAGTAGACTTATTTATTTTATTATTCACGGATTGGGCCTTTTTTACACAGATATGATAGTTAATCACAACGATAATTTGCTGTAAAAATATTATAGCTCGAAGTAACCTAAAATGATTTAAATGATTATCATCATAATTAAAAGGAAAAATCCGAATAATATAAAACATTGATCTAATGATTTTGAAAATGATGTTATAGAAGAACAATTCTATTTATTTTAATTAATATAAAGTAAGTTAATAATATATAATAAGTTATATTATAATACATTATTTATATTAACTAAAATCTAATTAATGTAAAAAATATGTGAAAATTAGAAAAAAAACTTGGGCTGTTGTATGATCAAGTATACAAATGTATTAAAAATACTAGATCGATAGTTTTTACATTTTCTGGGTAGTAAATATATGATAAAATATGATTTGTGTGGGAATCCCAACATTTTATTTTCAAAATTGTATGGGTTCGTACTTACAATATCACAAAATCAAATTTGATTCTGAGTGATAATATTTAATAACGTATTAATGATCTAAAAAATCATACTAATTCTAAATAATTAAAAATATAGGACATATTTAAATTAAGCGTTTTATAAAACACACTAAATTTAATATTAAATTTGAAATCAACTGTGACGAGATAAACTTATTATACTTATAAAAAATAAATTAAACAGGATGAGCCAATAATAATTATTTAACTGATTCTATTATTCCCCAATAAAAAAAATGTGTACCCATTTGATTGAGTAAGTAAAATTTATCCTTCGCAATAATAATAAAAAATAAAATCGTCTGGATTTTTTTACGGCAATGGGTACTCTATCATGTGGGTCAGTTTATTAAAAACACGCGTATCTCTTCGTGGAACTTTGAAGTAATGTGTATCGTCGGTTTCGTTAATGTTTTGTTATTCAATTTTAGTTCCCTATAAAGTTATACTATTATGTTGCCAAACATTTTGTTCAAATATTTAATTGGTATTGTATTGTCCGTAATATTTATAATGCATACTTGTGTTTATATATTGTATAGTATCGTGATATTTGCAGCCCGGGGTCGAAGTAATGCGAAAGTAGTTTCGTCTTCGGTTCTAGGTTTTAAAAAAAAGGTATCATGATAAGTATGATGTTAACTTTTTGTCTACAAAAACATTTAGTTAATTTATTAAAAAAAAAAATGTTGTACAGAAATGTTGACTGATAAAGTTATAACTTGTAGGGGTTAGAAGTTAGCTTAAGACATTATTGGACAGACTATAATTTTATATATATCTAAAAAGTCACAGAGATGGATTTTACGTTTCAATTTTGACTAATGGTTATTCTGCGGTTTAAGTTGAATATGATAAAATACAATGATTGGAATTGAATAAAATAAAATAATAAAATACAATTAAGTCTGTAACATTGGATTTGGAACAAAAAACTTCACGAATAAATCATCCAATCACCTCGGAATCATCATAAACCAAAGACTAAACTAGACAGAACATATAAAGACAAATAGAAAAAACCAACTCTAGACGCCCACTACGTCCATTAATAAAATTCAAAACGAGCCTCAAGAACAAATCATTAGTTGCGACGAATCAATCAAAAGGACACTATGGCCTTACCTCGAAATCAAATATCTGTTAAATCAAAGTAAAGGTTCTAACCCGCCGTTGCCATTTACGCATCACTATTGCTAATTTTGATTATTTTTACAAGACAGTTGTGCATCGTTCAATTTTTGATTATACATTGTTCGCGCATCAGCCGTTTAAAATGTTGCTCATCATTTGCGCATCAATATTATTGAACAATAGAACTGAAAAAGGTGTATACCAAAAATCTTAAGTGGTTTTCTAACTTTAATCTTGAATTGTACACATTTCTAAGTTAAAATTGTTAAACACCTAGTATTGTATAGGTGTTTCTGTTTTAAAATATATTTTTTCCTTGGTAATATTGTGTAACTTGACTACATTCAAAAACATTGGCTTAAATATACCACCGGTGAAATTAACAGGTTTCACTTTGTAACAATAATGGGACATTTAAATATACCAAATATTGACTTACCTATATATTATATTCCGTGTTGTGAAGTTATAAAACAAGAATTTGATAATGAATTTAATTTTGAACATTGCATTACCCACATTGATGAATTAATTGTAGAGTTCAAAAGACGATTTGAAGAAATTGAACTTATGCGTCCTCAAATAAATTTATTTAATAATCCTATGGCAGTTGAAATTGAAAAGCAAGATCCTTCACTTCAATTAGAATTATGTGAGTTACAAACAGATCCATTTTTATCTGCAAAAGAGATTGATGTGTCATTTTGGAAAACATTACCAGTTGAAAAATATCCAATTCTAAGAGATTTCGCATTAAAAATGTTATCTATGTTTGGAACCACATACATATGCGAATGTACATTTTCGAACTTGAAACATATTAAATCGAAGGAAAGAAATCGTTTAACAGATGAAACCTTGGGACATTTACTAAGAGTTTCAACTACAGAAATAGAAGTGGATTTTACTAAATTGTCTATTGAAAAACCTCATCCTCAAGTATCACATTAAATAATAATTGTAAATATAAATAAATAAAGATGAAAAATAAAATTTTAATTTTTTTTTGCTTTCTCCTATGCACTGCGGCCCGCTAGATTTTAAAGTATTTAAAAGTGGCCCGCTAGTTACTTTGAGTTGCCCATCCCTGCTATATAATATTATTTTTAGTGCTTGTTAATTGTACCTAATTCAAAATGCGAATGAATTACTTATATTTATATTAGTAGTAATATTCATTGAATAGTTTCTTAGTTATAAAAATGTTGGACAAGTACCTATAATAGTCTTTAAAAATGGTTTTGCATTATTTTATAAAATGTATTAAAACTTATAATACACGATTATTTGTACATCTACTTGTATTTTTTTATTTGAGTTTTAATTAATAATATATCTCATATTTTGCGCAAATCAGCTCTGTATCAAGAAAAAATTTCACCCAATCAGCCTTAATGTTAAATAATATATTATGGTTTTTGCTCACAATTCGAAAACACCGGTTTTATTATATACGACTATAAGACATAGTCGAAGGGGATAGGAATATTCAATAAATATTTATTGCACTACCTATAAGTAAATTATTTTTCTGTTAGTAATATGTAGTATGTAGAACACTTAAATTTATTTTTGAGAAAAACATCACATAATATTATATTGTATTACTAATTATTTTAATACCTTTTAGTTAAGTATTAGGTATTCATATTATAATTGTAATGACTAACGAATACGTTTTATATTACTTTTAATTCAATACTGCAAGTACAAGGTTCAATAGTGTTCATAGATTGATAGATTCATACTATATGAATTATAATAATAGCTTACAATTAGTCTGAATAATTCGAAATGTCATTGTGTACTGATAAAAATAATACAAGTACCTACCTACCCATTAGTGGAATGTTTCAAGTTTATACGACTATATATTTTTTTAATAACAGCAAAATTGAAAATCATTAAAATCTTTAATCGATCATAAAATATGGCTAAACTTATTTAAAAATTAAAAATAAAAACTCATTAGCGATCTTGTTTTAAATTGTCAAGCCATGGATATTAAAATTTAAAGTTGTTCTTAGGTATACGTATTTTTAACTTCAAAATAATTCAAGAAATATTTGACGATTTTCTAATCAAACTATTTGAATATTAATGTGAAAATTTCAAGTATCTACCATTATTTATTTTTAAGTTATAACAAAAAAAAAAAAAAATTAAAAACTGATTTTTCGTAAATATTAGTTTTTTCCTTAATATTTTATTTTGAAAAAGTACAGTAAATTACATACTTTTGACGTCTCAAAAAAAGAATGACCTAATTCGGCACCAAAAATCAACCTCAATGTTGAAAATCAAAGCAAAAAATGCACACATCCTATTACTATAAAACCAATACCTAGGTACCTATCTTACTATTGCTCCGCTCAGAATCGAAAATGGTGTTATAATGTGGCAGTAGTATTTATTTGACCATTTCGGACTACACAATACAACTTGATAATTATCTGCATTAGATATTCATACAAGTATTTAACTAGAGTCAATTAGTAATTACCAATAGTTGTAAAAAATTATACTATGAACTTTGTTCACTCGAGATAAGATGTAATCTAATTTTAGAATTTTGATTATTTATTATAAGAAAACATTTCCATTCATAGCAGAAACGGAAAATATGATATTTTGTAGTTCAGGTCCAAAAGACAGAAATATGTAGTAAAATATCAGTGACAAGTTTTTACAATACTATTGTAGGCACCTATATATTCCACAAATATTATATGTCTACCTATGTATTATATGGTAGGTATTGGTATCTAATTGACCCTGCACACGAGTATTAGAACATCTATAGTGTGTTTACAAATATATAGTCGTATTAGTTTATAATGTTTTGAATATATAAATAATTTATATTTTTAATATTTTATACTGACGTTTTTATTGTGTAAATTATTTTAAATAATTAAATAGGTAAGAAAATATCAATAAACTTTAATTTAATGAAAACTAAAACATTGATAACTTATATGAAATACAATTTTTTCTTTTTCTTTCAATTTTGAAACTCAATATAAAGTTATTAAGTAAGGAATTAACAATGTTATATAGTTCTTGAGGCAATATATCTGTATAACTGTATATTGGGTTATTTCGATTTACAAGTTACGATAAATAAAAGTATCTATATGTCTATATGGCCTAGATGTTTCAATAGAATTCGTATTACATTTTTAAATCGCCAAAAAATATATTTGTTTTGCTATGTTAAATGAACGGCAAAAAAACAAATAAATAAAACCAAATAAACTACTTTCGCCTATAATTGGGGATCGCACTATATTGTATATAAATAAAATCTAAATTCAATGCAATAAAAATCATTCGGCTGACATTTATTGTTATTAATTCTCATAATTCTAATTTTTCAAATAACACATTAACATCATTTTAGTGCGATCGTACCTATAATAATATTTAAATCATTAAATACCGTAGAGCCCATAGCGCTTACACTAATAACTAAAACACTAATTTATACAGCTAAATTTTAGTAAAATAAATCGGTATTCGTTATACTTGTGAGTTATCTATAAACCTTGTGCATTTTCAAGTAGCTCTTTATAAAAATAATTGATTTTTCAATTAGATTGTACGAAAAATTAAAGAGGTAGGTTTTATCAAGGTGATACGAGGAGCGATATTGTTCGTTAATATTAATTTTACCTACTATTTCTGTATAGTCGATTGTTTGCTTTAAATCTAAATGGAGGGTCACGTTAGTTCATAACTAGACGCTATTTGATTCGGTAGTTCGTTGAAGTTTGGTTTCCCAGGAAGGTTTTTATTTAAATTTCTTTTATCATACGGGATATTTTACTTGGAATAATCATGTTACCCGCAGAAGAGATTACTTCATCAATAAATGGGAATGACGTTTTAAAATTAATGGCTTCTACCGATCTAAAAGCAGTAAGGATTTAAGTTTAAATTTTGAACAAATATTTATTTAAAAAAAACAAAGTTTAAATTAGCTTATGATTGTACATGCATTTGTACAAACATCTTGTTTAAACGTATAACTATGACTAACTACCATGAATTATATTATATTAATTAAGACAAATTAAAAACTGTTGAATATCTGAATAATATAATAAATTGTTAGGTACCTACTGGTATTCACTTTCAGTTATTTAGGAAGTACAATATTATTTACCTTAGGTGTAGATATTATGTATATATATTATGATTTATGAGTAATTTTAATATTTCCGTCCAAAGTTTATTGTTATGTGTAGATGCGATTCAACGATGAGCATTACAAATGCGTTACATCTTACATATATACAATTTATGTAATAATTATTATTTACATATTATACATCCATCATAGGAATATAAATTTTTATCAATATACATTAATACAATTTAAATGTATATATATTTAAACTTAAAAGTTTTAGAATTTCCGAGTTCTTTAGTTCTTTACGTAAGTAATGTTAAAAAGTTATTTTTACTGTATTAAATAGGTAAATCATAATTTCCAGATGTTGTACTCAATTGTTTAAGGTTATAATTATTATACTTAATTCGCAATAAAAATAATAGACATTCATCACATAATATTATACAAAAATCTATTTATTATCAATGGCCAATTCATATAAATTAAAAATAATTATAATGTATAATTTGATAACAAAATTGAATGGTATTGTAACTACTAACTATATATAGCTAGTCAAATTGAATGCTTACTCATATTATGGCCTTAGAAGTCAGAAGTTATAATTGTAAGTCGCGACACTGACGAACATTTAAATTTGATTGCCTTTTTACTAATTGATATACGTTGGGTAGAAATGTATTTTAGGCTTTAGAATTAGTGCCTGTAGCATTCTTGCATCTTGAATAAAGCATATTATCTAGCACTTGGATGGAACAATATGACTTATTATTTAATATATTTACTAGTAGCTTTTACAATACACACTTACACACGCTCACATAAGACTTTTGTCTTTATTATCTGTGCTATCCACTTAGTAATGTAGATAGATATACTTAAAATATTTTGATTTAGTAGCTTAATTTCCATTGTAAATATAAATAACAAGTGTTAATACAAATGTAGATAAGAATTGCCTAAGATTGGAAGTTAAAAGATACAATATTGGTATATAATAGTTTAAGTTATACATACATATTATGCAGAAGTTGCATATTATTGCACACTGCACAATGTATAATGTCTCGTTATAGTGTGTACTCTGTATCTCTATCGACACATTTTATACTTCTTATATACAGGGTGTAACAGAAATACCCGCCTAATATAAAATGAAAAATGCATACAAGTTAAACGTATGAAAAAATTATGAAAGTAAATGGGTACTAAATAATTTATGATTTACTTATGTCTGATTCTCGGAAATAATATTTTGAAAAAAATTATGTATTTAAATTCGAATAAATTTACTCCAAAAAAATATTGATATTCTAAAGAATTGTAGAAAATAAACTATTTGACTTAAAATTTAAATAAACATTTTTACCTTTAATATTTTTCTAAAAATTATATTCACAAATTGATTATTTTGAATTTTCCCGAATAAAATTTAGTAAATTAAAAAAAAATCAGTATTGAATTAAAAAAAAAAAATTATATTTACTGCACTTGTAATGCAAGTAAATAAATTATATAAAAATTGTTTTTTTTTTTTAAATTTTTTATAGAACTAAAGTTATTTCATTTATCAGATCCGCATTCTGTTACACCTATACACAACATACTAGATAATAACCATTGATTATAAATACTGGGAATCTAGTACAGTACCTAGTGGCTAGTATAAACTATAAATATTAGTGTAGTACTAAAATAGAAGTATAGAATATAATTATAAACATTAGTATTAAGACACGTATATTTTGTATTTTTGTGATGTATCCACCAAGCAGGTTGTGAATGTAGTTTTTTGTTAAAAAATATGCATTTAATATCATATAGGTAGGTAGTAATCCACAAGTGGAAATAGATTGTAGTACCATGGTAAATATTTTTGGAATGATTATATTGTAATAAGAATTTTTTTAATTTATAACTAAAAATTAACCATGGATTTACCAACGTTATTTTGGATCTTAGTCTATTAATCAGTAATAATCTTCCTACACTAAATGAGTCTACATAGTTGTTTCTCGTCAGAGTCTTGGATTTTATTATAATAGTTTAACCACTAACAATACAATTTAATAAAAAGCATTCACGATCTATCATCGATAAAATTGCGGTGTCGATTTGTACCTATATTATATAATTTATACAGTTTAAGTATAGTACTTATTTTAATCTGTATTAATTAATATTGATAAATGCGGATATTGTATGAAAATAATGTGGTTGCCGTGTATAGTTTAACTGCGATTATAATATTTAATTATCATTTTATAGTACAGATTCTTAAATAGACGTTCATCCTTAAGCCTTAACTGCAATGTTATAATAATCATTTTAATCTTTTTAAAAGCAACAATGTATAAAAATTGTAATATTTTATGCAGTACAAGTTTAGGTTAATAATCATATGTATAGAATTTAAATTAATCATTTGCTTATTCGTTTACTTGTATACGTAGGCTGAACTTCTTGAGACTGCAAGTGACAAATTATCCGAAAAATCAAGATCACCTAAATCCGCAGACGACGAGACTTCGTCGCTCTTAATGGTTGAGAACGGTAATATGGCTAAAGAGAAATGGAAGTCGGATTGTGTAAATATTCGGTCAAATGGCAAAACTGAACAGACAAAAAGAGAAAATGCCGAACACAGACTTAGTATATTGTCTTTAGTCTATAATCCAACTGCCCATCCGACTTCGTAAGTGCAATAAACTATATAATACGTTTCTTGATAAAGTTATATAATAATTTTATACAAAATTTGAAAATCTTTTCAGTTATTTAGATACACTGATAAACATGTTGAAAGGAAACGTTGGATGTGGAATTTTAGCTATGGGAGACGCATTTAAAAACGGAGGATTATTTTTGTCGCCAGTTTTAACATTTTTCATTGGAATTATTTGTGTTTACAATCAACACGTATTAGTAAGCTATCATTATACAATTATTTCATTCAACAATGGGATTTCAGGTTTTTTATACTTATGGTTCTAAGTGCAAGCAATAACTATATAGTTACAAACATTAGCTACTTCGTAATTTATTTAGTTGCTTTTATTCCATTATAGTAGTTTGTATAACTACATATTAACGAAATCTTCTTTGAACTAATTTATAAGACGTATTGCCTATTAATTTATTATTTAAAATCTAATTCCATAAAATTAATATTTTTTTCAAATTTCCCATTTAACTTAAATTATGATAAATGATTAATGTTTATTCAGGATATTAAAAATAAGAGTAGTAAAACCATTTTATAATGCAAAACCTAATGGGTTATCGGTTTGATAAAATATTAATACACTCCTTATTTATTCGCAATCTTAAGACTTCCTGGTCGCTTTTTAGATTTTAAAGAATCATCAAATGTTGAAAAATATTTTTAAAAACGATCTTAAAATATCATTTTATTAACTGTGTAATATTTTATTTTAAAAAAATGTTTCCGTATTGCATATAACAAAATGTTAATGTATTAATATGAATTGAGTATCAAAATTTTAAAATAATCAGAGCTCCCATATGGGCGTATCTATAGGTACGTATATTTTAAACCTATTATGGGATAAGATTCTTGGTATATTAAGTAATGATTCATTCAAATTTAGATTTCCATCAATTGATTCAAAAAAATCATGATCACAATTTACAATAAAAAAAGATGGATCTTATTTGAAAAACGAATTTTGTATTAAAAAAGGATGTGCCTATCCCTTAAAAGGCATAGCGAATGGAAGTATTCAAAAATATTGTCTCGCAGTACCAATACTAAAAATTCCATAAATCGTAATTTGAATAAATACATGGTTAAAATAAAAAGGCGAAATGATGATCCCTGTATAGGACTAACTAGCAACTATATAAAAATATTATATAAGAATAAAAATATTTTTATTTTTAGGTGCAGTGTTCAAAAAGTGTTAAACAAAAACTTAAATTACAACATAATCCACAATTTGCTGAGACAGTAGAATTATCTTTTCAAAGTGGACCACAACGATTTCAAAGTTACTCAGTTTTTTTTCGGTGAGTGGTTATCAGTTTTAACTAATATAATTAATCATAGTCTTAGTTAAATCATATAAAACACAGAATATTAATAAAAATTATTTTTAATTGATATTCGTCAATGGTTCTCTTATGAAAGAATTACTTTCAACATAAAATAATGTTGAAATTTAAACATGTTCTTATAAAGTGGAAAAGTTCTATGGTTATATGAATATAATATATATTTATTAGTAGTATATTTACTAATTACTAAAATATTTTTGTTTTGTTGTACAGGAATAGTGTGAATAGTTTTATAGTAATCACTCAGTTGGGATTTTGTTGTGTTTATATTCTTTTTGTATCAAAATCCATTCAGCAGGTAAGGTCAATTATTGTGTCTTAAGTGTGTTTTTATTGTACCATAATTATATTGTATTTAAATGTGAGGATATTGTATTATTCTCAAGGAAATGATAATATTAAACGAGTAAATGCATGATGATTTATATTGTGTAAGGTTAATAACTAACAAGTAATTGGGTGACAACATTTCTTTACTGTTGGTTTTCAACGATAAAATAAAACCTAGAAAAATTTAATCAATGATAAATCTGTACTTCGTTAATTCATCATAATTTATAAGTTATAACTATGAACTGTATAACTGTACATGCCTTTAAACAATTCAAATTAAAAATAATTATGACTAGTATATTAGCCTTTTGGTGTTATTGAACACCACATAATTATATTTTCAAGAAAATGAATTGAGCTTTAAATTAGATTTAAAAATACATATTTATGCGAATTTATGTACTACGCAAGCCAGAGTCAAATGAATTATTACTAATTAGGATATCGTATCAAATTGCTTTTATTTTTACAATTATAGATAATTTATTACTATGATTTGTTTAATGTTATTAATTAATTATAACTGTGTAACAAGCACTAAAGGTATATAGGTACTACTTAAAACCAAAATAGAAAATAGATTAAAATATTCTTACATAAAATGTATTATGCATATTTAGGTACTCTATAACCTGTAATTTTTATATCTAGATGAGTTAAATTAATTTAAATTTGAATTAAAAAAAAAATTACTGTAAATTATTTATTTCTAACTATTTACATGAAGAAATATAAAGTTAAATGTTGTAGTAAGATAATAAAAATAATATTTGTCATAGTAATACATTTATTTTGATCAGAGGCGTACCTAGAATTTTTTTTCGGGGGTGGTTTCTATCTCCAGACCTAGCCAGACCTAATCAAGCTCCAAATATATATTATATTATGGTCAACTTTTATTAATAATTATTTTTATTTTTCGGGGATGGGGGGGGGGGGTTGACATCCCCAGGCATGCCCCTGATTTTGATAATTTTGCTGTTAGAAATTGTGAGATCTCAAGAAGATGTCTAATCCGAATGTGATAATATGTGTCTTAGAGTTAACATATAACATAATTAAAAAATGTACGTTCAGCTGAACCAATTATGTGTTTTTAGCTTTCATGTAATATTGAAAGTCGAATTTAATGGTAAGATGTCTGTGTTAGCAAGTTGAATTTTTAATTTTTATGATCTTTAGTTATATTTTTAAATTGAGCATGAATATGTAAATATTGCAATTTTAAATGGTTATAACTCGATTAAAAATCAAAATACCGCACAAAACCTATTCTCAAATACAGATAATTTTCTTACTTTTGAGTTTTAGTTTTGATAATAGGTCAATTAACTTTAATATTAAGGCTAACAATACACAAAATTGGTTCTGTCAAACGCAACTGTAGTATGTTATACGTTTGAAAGATAATGACAACACGAGTGTGACGTCCTCTTAAGTTCTATGATAATTACCATTTACCAAACCATGTTATTCTTAAATACCTACCTATAATCTATACCAAAAAAAAGGTATTTACATTATACTATTAAATCAATTGAATATTTAGTAATGTAGCATAGTATAAGCTACAGATAAATAAACATTTAAACTATTAGTAAGCACCAAACTGTTTTTTTTAAAAATTTATTTATACATTAAACTATAGTTTCTTTATTACTTAATAGATCAATAGCTAACCATAATATTGAAGACACTGAATATAAATTATTAATACTCTGGTATCAGTTTAAAAAATAAACGTTACTTACAATGTGTTTTTAGGTGTTGAGCTGGTATAACATTCAATTAGATGTGCACCTCAGTATATTAATATCGATGGTGCCTATAATGATTTCATCGCTCATCAGAAGTTTAAAATTCATCGCCCGGTTGTCTGCAATAGCAAATATGTGTATGCTTGTGGGTCTGGTTGTAATTCTGTACTATTGTACCATTGATTTACCCCCATTGTCTTCAAGGTCCGCTATTGCCCATTGGACGACAATACCTTTATTTTTCGGTACCAGTATTTTTTCATTCGAAGGAATTAGCTTGGTAAATTTGGTCCTAGTATAATTTGATATTAAACTATATGTATTTTTTTTTGTTTTATCTATATATTTTGACGTTCATGCTTCAGGTCTTACCTTTAGAACAAGAAATGAAAAAGCCAAAACAGTTTTCGACTGCTTTCGGAGTACTAAACGTGGGCATGGTTATCGTTACGAGTCTTATAGTTCTTACCGGTTTTATGGGGTATTTAAGATTTGGAGACGCAGTGCGAGGCAGCCTTACATTAAACTTGCCAGAAGAATTTTTGTTAGTATTTTACACGATTTTATTACAATTATATTTGTTACATAATTATAGGTATATGGGTAACACATTATATTTTACAGGCTATCTAAAGTCGTCATTTCGAGTATGATGTTTGGTATCATATGCACTTATACATTGCAATTCTACGTACCCGTGGAAATCTTATGGCCGAAAGTCGAACAAAAATTTGGGCCTTTCAGATCACCTTTACTGTGGGATACGGGTTTACGTGTAATACTGGTGCTCATCACATGTTAGTACCTAAATATTAATGATTATTATTTATTTACATTTTTAAACGAGGCTTAATACTTCATAATACTTTAATATTATACACGATACTCGCATACCGATTTTTACGTCTTGACATTGCCATTGGCGTGAATGAAAATCATTCCTAGCTTACGTGTCAGATTATAATACGAAAACGTCTAGTTCGCGTGTTTCAACTCTTATATGATGACGTGTCATTCAAGTCGTGGATTTACTCGAATTTTATGTCAACATATTATTTTTAGTCTCACTTGAAATATTCTGCCTAGTAGGTACCTACTTGTAAATTGTGAGTGCTTGGCAGAGCACATGTACATGGTGACTTATTGAATTCTACTTATTTCTATAACATCATAATGACCATATCCAGTAATAAGTTATATTAAGCACATGGGTAATACCTGAAGTGTGCAGAATAAATTTTAGTGTTTGCTGACGGTATCTTTTGTATTCTAGAGGAAAGAAAGTATTACTTGATATTTTAAGTGCATTTACCCTTAACAAAACAATAAATTGTTGATCTAAGATGACAAAATGTAATGAGGTGGTGTGAGAAAATGGAGAAAAGCCTCGTGGCTTTAATAGGTAGGTAAATACAATATCTTCATTTTATATAAATCGCATCAGTTATTGTAACTAGGGCTTGGTGGTATTTCAAATTTTGATACCAGTATCAACGGCTTAACCGGTAGTGTACGGTATTTTAGACAACTCCCGAGACATGGTATTTTTGGTAATTAGGTGCCCTACCAAGATACAGTATTTTCGGCCAGCTAGAAATAGTGTTTCCAAACTCTCGAAAATTGAATACTCATTTTAAATTTTAAATGAATGAAAGAATCACTCTAAAACGTCCCGTCCCCTCACCATAAATACTTTGTCAAATGTACAATCATTTATAGCTATGAATTAGTGCAGTTAAAGTCTAAAAAGATAAACTGTTTTTTTTTAAAATAAGGTTGCAAAATTGTGCAATAATACAATTTTTGGTCGATATTTTTGGAGTATTTTAGATATATTTATTTATTGTTTAAATATAAGTGTCTACATTTTTTATTTGAAAATAGTTTTGAACATTAGTTTTACATAATTTGATGTCGTTTCATACAATATTTTTTGAAAATTGGATTTTGTTTACGATTTTTTAATGAAAAAATATATATTTCAAATTCCTGAGTAGAATATATTTTGAGTAGGTATTATAAAACATAAAAATATAATTTTGATCGAGTAAAGTTGATTATATAGTGCGTAATTACTATAAAGATTATAGGTAACTAAGTTTAGAAGCACTAATATATATAGCACTCGAGTCTTAAGACCCGAATTACCTAATAACATAGGTACACAATATTTTTTGAATAACACGTGTGAGTGACATTGCGTGTTTCAGTCGTTGCGGCTGACGTGATACCACACCTAAGCTTGTTCATATCTATGATGGGTGCCGTCGCCAGTACGTTCCTAGCGCTGATATTCCCGCCACTGTGCCACATGGCTGTTACCAGTGCCGACGACGGCGGTAACGGTTACGGCTTGTTCAACTGGCGGTTGGTGATGAACTGCGTCACGCTGGTGTTGGGCGCTCTCGGATTCGTTACCGGTACGTACGCGAGCGTCTACGAGATATTTGGTGCGTTCCAAAAAGTTTCGGTCATTGCCGCCGTCACCAATACCACAGCCAATAACTACACTGTACCGGGAGTACACTGACCATCCACCCACATCAGCGGCGTTGTGCGGACGTTGTCGTCGACATCATTCGCACACTCCCGTATACCCACCCATCCATCTCTACGATCATTATACCTCGCGCGGAAGCTCAAATATTATAGTATATTTAAGCTTCGGATGCTAAATCGCGTACGCGTATAATAATATTATACAAGTAGTTAGTAGGTATATAATTATTATATGATATGAGACGTGGATATTTAATACATCTATTATATTTATTATAATTTATATTTTAAATTGTACCTAATATAGAATCCCCTAAAATCCAGGGTTGGCTTTTCTATACAAAATCGTATTGAACATGGTTCATAAAAACAATTTTTTTAAACCTACGTTTTAAAATAGGTTTTAAAAAAGAATTAAAAAACATTCTTTGAATCTTAATATAATAACAATTCTATGTGAAATAAAAAATACATATTATATTATGTGTATCAAATATCAATAAATATAGACTTATATAGGAGTCAATTCATAGATATCACTAACCGAATTTGTAAAAGGACTTCTACAATAAATTTACATATACATTTTACAAATTTACATAATATAAATATATAATAGTATAAGAAGTATTATGACGTATAGTTACGTATTTTTCAATTTAATAATATTACCATACTTGATTGTTTTTTCCTTTTTTACACTGTTTTCTACAATTTTTTTTTAAGTTAATATTATATATTATTTTGTAATTATATGCTCACGTTTTGACAGCAACACAGACTATTTTACACAAATAATTGTAATACATATTACTATTAGATACATATTATACACAGTCGAATCCAAGGTTTACGTTCTATATACAAATTAGTCATTGCTTATATTATAATATTATATATATTTACAAATATTTTTATTTTTATTTTTAACTGTATTATACATTTTATTTTATTTAATAGGCTTAAAACTAAGAACATAGCTGTATAGTATTATAATTTAGAAGTTACTTTGCAGTTTACATGTGTAAAACTTACTTGTAATGTAAAGTAAGTTGATTTATTTTATACATAAATTAATATTATCCTATTTTATATTATTTAGAATTCATAATATCATGCTATTATTTTTGATTCACTGAAAAAAAAAATATTGTTCTGAATTATTAAATGAATCTGTTTTTTCTTTGTAACACCGTGAGTCTTAATTGTGTATTATTTTTATTTTTTCTAAAGGTGCATGATATTTTGTGCCAATCTTACAAGTACACAACCAATTATGAATATTATTTTGCCCAATTCAATTTAACATAATAATATTATATTGAGATTACTGGAATAGTTTTTACATTCATTAATCTTGAAAACAACAAGTTTTTTTTACAAGCATTGAAAGTTTCAATTTTTACGAATTTCTCCCCTAAAAATTACAAATTATTTTGTAGTTAAAAATTAATAAAATTTTTAATTTTTATAGCAATGACTGAAAAGTTAGTACAAGATTTCTCATAAAATATATTCTTACTGAAACTTAGAAATCTCAAAAATACGAATGCACAATATTTGTATAAGCATTTGTATAATGCTGTATGTACTTGTATAATACATAAAAAAATCCAGGCATAAAAAAGTACTTATCTATAAAACTTGCCTAGAAATATTCATAAATTTGAAAATTTCTTCAATAAAGGCGCATAATGACATTCTTTCTATGCATCTGGTAAACAAATGATTGATATTTCTTACACCATTAATCGGAATGCATACTCTCAAAAAAAGTATGTAAATGAATACAAATCTGGATTCTAATACTTTCCGGTTTTATGAGGGTATTTTAGTACATATTTAATAAGCCTTTGAGGGAGTTAAAATAAATATTAAATTGTCATATGTCATTAGTTTTTGTCACCAGTAGGCAGTAGTGTTTTATTTATTTACTTTTTTTTATTGATCTAAATCCCGGCAACCATGGCCATTAGCTTTTGCAGGAGGAAACGGTTGATTTGAAGCACATATTTGTATGTGTACCAAGGATATGTCGCTATAACCCGGGTGGTCACCCATCCGACTGCTAGCAACGACGGTCCAGTACGTACGCTCAGTGCGTTGCCGCAGATTGAGGATACGACCGCGCCTCACCAAGTCACGGTAGTGTTTTTGTTAGGAAGACAACAAAATTTAATTTTTCTAAACATTCACATATAATTATTATTTTAATAACAAACCAATTGTTATATATATTATTTACAATATTTATGTTCCGATGGTTTACATAATATAGACATTTAGTGTATTTAGGAACCGACGTCATAATTTAATCGTAGAGGTTATTAATCATCTTCTTAACTCCAATATTTTAAAACTAATCAAAGCTATATTATGGATATACATTATACACTACAGTATGTGCTTTGTATAATGTATTGTATATTGTATACTTCAATGCTTGCATAGGTATTAGGTACCATAATATATAATACAGTACACAAACATATTCACATATTTATATATATATATATATATTATCACGGATTACAAAGTTCTATTCAACCTGACGTATAATTTGAATTTGATAGTAATGTATACTAATTACTAACCGTTTCTGAGGGTCTCGACTAAAGATAAATAATTTGAATTAAAATTAGCTACATATAGTAAAGAAAAACGCTATTCATATTATTACAAGTAGATAATAATAAAATTACTCACCTGAATAATAATCGGACATTCGTAGCATGTGATTGTTTATAATAAGAGTGTATTATTCAACGGCGATGAAAATACGTCTACATCTCTTGATTCACGTGTATTATATATTAATCAAATTTTTCGAACACGTGCTAAAAATGTGCCGATCAAAGGTATTTAACTATCAGCAAATTGAAAAAAAAACATTCATTTTCTCTTGCCAAATTACACTGCAAATATTCATACACGCTTAAAGTTGAATAATTAGTTGAAAATATTAATAACTCAAATTAAGTATTTGCAATCTTATTTTTTTTAACTCTGCGGATCACACTCCACACTCGTCGTGTAATAATATATTGTATTTTTTACTATTAATAACACTTATATTAATAGTACTCCCGTTGTGCTATAAATTACCTATTATTATTTATTATTTTATAACCATCATGTTATGGAGTGCCTGAAATTATTTTAATCCTAATACTGATAGTTAAATGAACTATCTAATCTTTTAATGCTCTTTTTTTGCTAAATTCGGTTTTACATAAACATTACAATAATAAACTATAGGGAACTGATTAAAGTATAGGTATGTTTATTGCAGGTGTATGAATATAATTGGTGTAGACAAAATATAATTAAAAATAGATCTAACCGTTTAGTTGTTACAATTTATTGATCTCTACTATTATTTCGTACATTATGTACTTAATGTCCTAATGTCTAATACTATATTATACTCACCTACTCACTGAACTAGCTAAAAACTGCGGATTTGTAAAATAATGAGACTCGAGCAAAATGCAATACGTTTAGTCAAAATATTTTATACGATGTTCCATATATTAAGTCACACAAAAGTGTATATTAATACCATAGAAAAATATAATCAAATTATCGCGGAACAAATTATCTTTAGGACATGGCAGCGTGTGTAATGCCCAAAAGATAGAAACATATCCGTAATTCCGTACCCTGATTTGATGTTGCCGATGTTGGAATTGTGTATCCCTCTAAGTTACGAATACCTCATAGACCATAGTCCAGTAGTCCCCATTATAGGATTTTGGAAAGAACCAATTATTATTTTTGAAAATTACTTGAGGCCCTTATGATGAAGTGAATAATTTTAATTTGTGCATAATATTGACCTAAAAATAAATAGGGTCTTTGTTGGGAGTATTTTTTCCCTCGGGTTTTCCTATAGTTAAATGTTGAATAATAATCTTTAAAAGTATATAAACTATAATCTATTGATAAAACCCCGATGGCCATTTGGGCTAAACATAAATCAATTCATTGTACGTCATAAATCTTGCCTGATTTCCAGTACATGCCACGTCGTTGTCGTATTTCGTAAATTTAAATATTCAATACGGAAGTATCAAAATTTTGGTAAGATGTTCTGCCTACGAGTCGAACTCTACACGACTGCGCACGGTGTAGTAGAGACGTGACTTGACAGTTATAAGTTTGTGACAATACCGCGGTTACGGTCTACCACATCGATATCTTCATTGGAAGCTGCTGCAAGTTGCAACGGCAGTCATCAAGCGCTTTTAACGGAACTACCGATAGACCTATCGGTTTACTAAAAATCATTTTGGCCATAATTGTATGTCAAAAGTGTACTGTTTACAAAAATATGTGCTCTCTAAGAACTAACCGACTTTCTTAACAATTTACTAAGCTTTACTGTTTCTGTTGTCATTGATAAAACATTTTCGTTTTGGCAATGAACAAACTCCTTATCAGGTGGTATCAATAAACAGTCAGCAAACCGTTTGCTTTCGTTACCTCCGTGATTATACCCCCTTTCGTTACTTTGTATTTTATGAGACGCCATTCTAGGCACTAACCTAACCAGCAATTTTATAATGAAGTGTGTTAAATACGAATCATAATAATATTTAATAATTATTTTTGTTTAAATATAAATACATATGATTATACACCCAAAATCATGTGGTGTCATTTATAATATTATACCTTGCTGATATAATTTTTTTACTCTTAAGCAACCCTTATATAGCCGTATGTATATTGTATATGACATATCACGTATATGTAGGTACATTATTCCTTATGGAGACTGTCGTCCTGAAATATTGGGGCTTGTGAGAGAATTTCGAATTCAAGTGATCAGTATAAAAGCTCGTATACAAATATTATACCTACAATCATTCATACAATATTAAACCTTGAAGTGTTTTATGTTACATAATTTATTCAAATGTTATCTCAGTGAATAGTGATAGAATTTAAATTTTTATTTTTATCGTGACGTCCGAGCATCATGTGCTGATTGTGTCCAAATCATGCTGCAAGTATTATGTACATAATATGTGTATAGTAACTGTATATAGTATATGTATATCAGTACAATATTATATTATGGTAGAAAAAGGATAAATCCACAGTAATAACTTTTTTTTTTAATAGAATGTGAAATATAAACAGAATACCTAGTGTAAAAGATCAAAAATGTCTGTGTAGGTAATAAATAATAATTGTTGAACTACCTAAAGACAAATAGGTAAAATAGTATAATACAAAACAAAATGTATAGGTAGTTGTTTATCTGTATACAGCTGTATTTTTAAATAGTAAATTACTGAATCCCGTTTAATTGTATTGTTATAAACATTTTATTTAGTACCTTTTTATTATAGTTGTATATTATTTCATTTCAAAACTAATTTTTGATTACAATACTAATTTACGGCTGATTTCAAACTTATCTACGATTTTTCTGGTACCTAATAAACATATTTTGATAATTTGTAAATTGGTGCCCACAGATTTACTTTATCACGGCACTCGCAATTTTCGATTTGATTTTTTAAAACGAGTAATGAATGATAGTGAAATCAAAATTTTTCAATTGTACTTGATTTCGATGATTTAATAGCCTTTCAGTTTCGAGATTATATCTGCCACGGAGTTCTGCTATCCGTATCCATATTACGCATATTAATGTATTGTGTACCAATTATTTATGATTTCAAACTCTAATTATTGATTATTGTTATAATTATTATATGGGGGAATACTATCTTTCTGTTGTTTTTTTTTTACAAAGTTAGGCTTGTTATTATTTATTTTGTTTTATATAATACTAGTTGACCCAGCCACGCGTTGCTGTGGCTCAGTAATTATAATACATTTAATCAATTTTTTACTAATTCTTTGGTGCAATCAAATTAATATTTTCTAAAAAAATTTAAAATAGACTCATTCATATGGGATTGAAAATAAAACGTTTCGCCAAAATTTAAAAGTAATAGATAAAGTATCGAAATGTTTTAATTAAGCACAAACCAACATAAACGCTGTTCTCGAGGCTCTTGTCTGCGAATTTCTGCTGTTCTGATTTGTTGAGCTGCGTTTCTTGCTGCAATTTGTTCTTCCGATTCATGGGCTCTATTAGCAAGCATACTTCGTGCATTTTTACTATACTGATTGTTAAGGTTAGATTTCCGTGACATTATACTAAATTAAAAAAAATTTAAAGAATATTCAATACTGAACACTGCACAATAATAACACAATACAAAGTATTTATGGTTAGTGGGGTAACCTAGGTAAAGTAAAATACGAAAACACTAAACCAATCCAAATAAATAAATACACCATGCAATTATACATAAGTATGTAAATGTATAAAAAAATTAATTAATATATTAATACATTTTAGATAAAAACTATCCAATCTTTTAAGTTGGACCAAAATACACAACATGTAAAAAGTTTCATCAAAATCTGTTCAGTAGTTTCGGAGTTTATTGCGAACATACATCGTAACACGAAATTGATATATATATAAGATAATACAATTATTTAACCAGCATATCCGATAGCTGAAATCATTACCGGCTTTCTCAATATCACTGTTGGATGGTATTTTTATAATACGTGTAATGGTGGTATATATAACTTCAAAAAGCTATAACTTCGAAAGTAAGTTCGACCAACAAATTATGATTGCACCATCATTCTTAACTTGTTAAAATACGAAAGTAAAAAAAAAGTAAAAATGTATGTATGGTGTGGTAGAGTAAATGTTTTTTGTTCCTCTATGCTTTCTTTGTATTAGTTATATGATGTATATTTTTCATTTGTGTCGAATCAACTTTTTTTAAGAAGAATATACCTACTTAATTTTACTTTATACTCAACTATATTCTGATATCAAATTTAATCTATTTGATACTTAAGAGATTTGAAAAGACAAGTCCAATGTAAGAAGGGTATCTCTTTCAAAAAAAAAAAAATGATAAAAATCGAACCTGAACTTTACGAGGCGTTAGAGTTTTTTCTGTAAGGCTGCACGTTTTCGAGCATAAAACAGTTCACGTGCAGGTAACTTAATGGAAATAAATCGTAGATGTTTACTTTAAATTTCTTTGATTCCTTCAATCAAACTATTTAACCCTAATAATTGACGAATAGGCAAAAGAGTGAAATCATATTCCAAACACGCATTTTAAAGTGAAAGCATTAGGAAGTTAAGTCGTTGCTATAAGGTTTAATATAACCAATGTTTAGTTTATTATGGTATTTATTTTCATAAAATGTTTGTTTCTTAGTAATAAGCTTGAATATTTAATAAAATACCCAAGTTGGCTCATAAGAAAATATCCAAATATTGTAGTATTTAAATCTTGTATAGGTACATTTTGTTATAACTGCGTAATTGAAATATTTATTTTTAATTCACATGAAATTTTATTTAACGTTTTATAGGGATACAACATTCGAATCAACTCTTATGTTTTTTATGCAGAAATGTATAAACATTGAATACATAAAATTGCTTTTTTTAAAAGGAATTTAAAGTTATTTTAATATTTTTGATGAAATTGAATATTTGTACAAAGAATAACGTTTTTATTCTTGTTTTTATAGTATGTAAAATTAACTAACTTTTATTTTTAATGAATCGATACATAATAATTAATAAGTAATAGTCATACGATAATTATTTTGTTCTATAGGTTTTGTACATAAAACAGAAATCAAAATCAGAATTTTACTTGATGATCACTAGGTAAGTAAAAACTCACTATGTCTATCTGACACATCAATAAACGAAAATATTCAATTCAATTTATCTAGTATATAACTAAGTGTGATCATAACTTTATAAACACACATGCCCATTATAATTGATAAGGTAAATATTCAAGGCGCTTAACTATTTTCGAATATAAAAGTAATTAAATACACTCGTGGAAATTATAATGGAAATGTATCGGTTACACCCGTAAAGGGAGGCTAAAATGTGTGTAGCAGGGAAAGGAGAAGTAGGGTAAAGTACAAAGTAAAATAGATTGTAGCAGACAGTGTTTGTCACAGGGACGAGCTTAGTAATCGTTTCGTCCGCGCGTGATGATCATCAAAACGAATACTCAATCGTCGTCCTAGTTGTTCGCTAGATTTATTTAGTTAAAATTATTTTAGTTATAATATTGATTTAATTAGAATATTATAATAGTAGTGAAAATCAAAACCATGGAAACTGACAAATTAAATGATACAGAAAAGAAAAGAAAAAGTGATACTCAAGTTGCTGTGGTAGAAATGAGAGAACTTAATCACAGTTCGAGGCCATCAATATCGGGAGAAAATAAAACATCAGGGTAAGAAATAAATTTACTTTTATAAATTGTACATGAGTATTTGTGGGATTTGAATTAGTAGTTCGATAAAATGATATTAAAATTTAAATTATTACCATATAAAAGATAAAATTAAAATATACGATTATATCAAAGATAAAAAATAAATTTAATAATTATAAGCTAGAATTAGGTAAAATTAAACTAAAAATTACGATATTTAAAAATAATTAAAAACAAATACCTGATTAATTAGAAATTAATTAAAGAAAAGTAAGTTCTTCTGGATATTATTATAATCATACAGAAATTAAAACATTAAGTATAAAACTAATTACAAGTTGTTTAAAGAATTAGCAAAATAAAAATCAAATTGTCATAAATCAAGACAAATACCTATACCAACTGTCCTAAATTTTCTTGTAATAATTATCTCTTTTATTTTATTAAACAATATCAACCTTCAATTTGTCAATGGTGACTTACAATTATTTTAATTTTATATTATTACCAAAACAGTTTTTATTTTTTTCAACACTGATATTTTATAATGTCTTATACTCAACATATTGTATCACTTTCTTAGATCTTAATCCAAACTAATTGTTTTCTAATTATAACAAATAATAAAATTTAAACAGTGGAATAAAGAAGATTATATAATGTTTCAACTGTTTGAAGTGCGGTATAAATACTTAACATTTTTAAATCAAAAGGTGTTTTTATTTGAAACAAGTAGATAGAATAAAAATAATAAATATAAATGAAATAACTAGTTATTAGTGCGTTCTTTCAATTTTTTTTCCAATAAATTATAAATATTTCTTAAATTACTATCTCATGATTAATATTACTTGAAAGATAGAACTTAGATACATTTATAATATTCAAGTTATTTTTGCGTAGGTAATAAAATATTGATTAGTTAATACTCTAAAACAAAATAAAATATTTATATCTAAAAAAAGGATAAAAGAAATAAATTGTCATAAACCGAAGCCTAAATCTGTGTTATGGAATTTTGAATTCATAAATAATTCACTTAAAGTGCTAAGGCTTGTAGAACCCCTCTACAAATTACTGTTATTAAATTGTTACCTCCTCTAAGACATTTCTTCACGATATATTAATAAATACCTATTAATAATGACAAGAAATGATGTCTAGTGTAACATTTTTTTTCAAATAAAAAAAAAATATTCTAGTCATTTAAATAATATATATTTATAATTATTATTTATTGTAATATACAATAGGCCTTTTGGCCTCTATAACAGTATTTAGTCGAAATTAATAATTTTGATAGTTGATACCCAATGTACCCATACTATTAAATTTGAACAAAAAAATGTATTTATTTATAAATGTAGGTATGGACGAATCTGTAGACTCAAAGTGTTGGTACAAGTAAAAAATATTGTTTTAATAATTATAAAATCAAATTAGCTAGGATTAGGTTTGAAGATTTTATGTTATGAAAATATTAAGTTGATTTGATCACGGACATTGATAAATCTAAGTAGGTGCCTAAAGTCTATACTATAGACTCTATAGTCTAAACACATTACACAGTAATTGAAATATAATGTCAGTGACCATAATTTTTTGAGAAGTTCAATCTAAATGAAATAACTATTGATAGCTTGACCTAAAAAGAAAAATACACTGATAATTTCGTTAAAAAAAGTATCAGTCAAAAGGTTAAACCAAAATCAATCTAAGATTATACTCGTTACATTATTTTATGGGTACTTGTAAATACTTGTAAAAATAAAATGTTTAAAATTAAATAATTTCTATAAAAAATACAATATTTATTTATGCCGTAAGTTATATCATTTTTAAATGAATACACATAATTGAAAATTATTGTACATTGTCGCTTAATATTACAAAATATGTTTCGTTATTATTCATAAATACAAATTAGAAGTTTTTTTCTAACATCAACAAAATAGACACAAAATAATATTGTAACCATTTTACTTAACGAGTATTTTAAATTAAATTAAAAAAAAATAAATGTCTGACTATAATGATCAAACATTTCATCATATACGGCTTCCTTCTTTTATATTAATTCGGGAATTCGAAATTGAATCTCGCATATTGTAGATCAAAGATTTTGCAAACAAAATATCCAGTACAATTTTAAAGTTATAAGTTTACAATTTATTTCATAAACATATAGTTTGTTATCAAATACATTTTATCGATATAAAGTAAATAATTAATATTAATAATTATAATAGGTACATAACTACTGCTTAGAATTATATTTTTACTGACTTTGTAGTTATGAATATTTATAATGGATATTTTCATTGAGGTTAGGTACATTATACTTAAATCATATTTATGTTTTAAAGTATAATCTGATATATTATATACTTAAAATTGTTTTATCATTTTTCGGAAGACAACATGCATTTTTATTACACATTTTTCGGAGCAAAATATTTTAAGAAGTATTTCGAGCTTTTAACACTGAGGGTAATATAGCATCTTTAGCATCGTCTTTTAATCTTTCAATCACGTTTTAAAATGTTTCAAAATTATTTGCATAAAAAGGTGCAAAGTTTAACCATCTTACAATAGCAGGTTTTCTAGTTAAGGCAAGCCAGTATAAATTCTTAAATAGGATACAATTATATTCCTATGACCAATTTATGATAAATACCCATCGGCTCATAGAGTGATTAGAATAATTGTCATCTTAATAATAGCTTAAATGTTACGGTCACAGATTATCTACTCGTATCTAACTGGTTAGTTTTAATTAAGTTTTATAATGTTAAATAATTAGGTAAGTAAAATATTTTTTGCATAAACTCGTACAGCACATAACATTTGAATATAAAACTTAGTAGATGGAATAAATTTTAATATTTAATTATTGGGCTACATATATATTAGAGAATAAAGTAAAAACATGAAAAATTATGAAAAATTGTATAAAATATAGTTTTAAAAATGATGTCTTACAATAACATTTTCAAAAACGTTATGAAATAATGAGTTTCCTTTGTACACCTTCATTGTAACAGTTATTTTACAATTAAAGCTGAAATATTCCAAAGATCTCTATTAAAAATTCAATTATTGCACTATTTTAAAACCCTATTTTGAAAAATAGTATGTTTTATTAGACTTTAATTGCTTCAATTCTAAGCTATAAATATTAGTCGAAGTATAATATGAATTTTATAACTGTTATGTATTTATTCTATTTTAATGTCTATTAATTGTCATAAATGTCTTACTTTTCTCATAAAATACACCCGATAGAATAATTCATACTCCTTTAAACATTTTTCACAACATATGTAATACCTATTAATTATAGGCTCTATATAGTAGATATCTGCTACCAACTACACAGTTTTATTAACAATAGATAATAACTTAAAACCGTAGAAGCCCGAGGTTGTTGTATAAGTTACATTTTATGATATTGCTGTTTATAATTTGATGAAAGTATGAAACCATGTGAAAAAATTTGAATTATCCACATTTTTACACCTATTTAACATTAAGTGTTTATTTTTAAATACATTTGGTGTGTTGGAAGTACGTTTTGAATATGTTTGTAAAATTAAACCTTTAAATTGACCTTTTTTAATGTGATACACCCTAAACTGTAGTTATATTGTATTACGTACCATGAATCCTACACGAAACGAGTTATAAAGGATCGAATTTTAAAAAATGCAAATAAATAAAAAGAAATTATTTTAAAAATTTATTCATTCACAAATATCAAAAATATTGTTACAATAAAGTATAAACAAATATTTAACTAAATAGAAATTTTATTTAAGTCTAAATAGAATTAAATTTAAATTAAAAAGCATTTGAGTATTTTTCCAAACGTTTTTAACTCTAGAAATAATATAAAAAACTTAATTGTCATGTACAATTTACTTTTAACTTAAAATTTTTTTTTTACTATGTTATATTATTCTCAAATCCAATAACCAGCTAAATAACCTTTCTCTTAGAGAAATATTTTCAAGGCTTAAAATCAAAATAATATTTTTCGATTTTAATTTCAATTTTGCTTAGCTATATCCAATAGGTATATTTTTTTTTAATAGTTATAATTTATTTAGGTATTGATCTTATCATTTTATGATTTGTATATGTTGCACAATATCGATGAATCGATATATTTTTCTGATTTATAATAATTAGATTTTAAACTTTATTCTTTTTTTTACAATTTAAAATATCGTTTTTCATTTTAAAGATTTTAATACAATCATGTTTTCTACCTACGAACAATACGTGCAGAATCGTCAACTGTGTGTTCAATATACTTATATATACGAATAACGGTCATAGATAACAAAATTATCAACTGACGAACTAATTGACGATCTAATTGACCTATTATATAGGATATTAATAATCGATTTCAACCCCTATTTATTTTTGCAGTAAATATGTGATAGCTAAATAAAGGTTTCAATAAAATATAATGAGGCGTATTATAATAGAACACTTATCGAATGTCTCAATGTCAATAATAAAACGCACTCCAATTATTAGAGATAAGTAACACATAGAATACTTGTTCAGTTTTTCAGGGGTTTAAATCCTCGAATCACAATGATAGTTATTTGTAATATACCTATGTGTACCTATATTTTATTACATTGCATAAAAGTTTTTCATGTTATCCATTCAGACACAATAATAATATAAACCAAACTGACGTTTACAAAAAGGATCACTAACCCTATTATTTGTTGATGTGATATTATTCGTAATTTTATTTTGTGTATTATTTATTTTGCAACTGTTCAATGTGTAATTTTTAGATAAAAAATGTTGACAAAATAAGTATTCAAAGAATTCGATAATATTTTGAGTACAATTTTTTTGATAGTTTTACTCAAAAAAAAAAAAATTACCTATAATACCATACAGAAACTCTTCAAAAATGTAATAAGTTATAACTTATTGATGAGAGTAACTATGTCATATAAGTACTAATGTTTTTGGAAATAAAATATTAAAAAGTACAATATTAAACATAGATACATATAAATAAGGGCGTTAAAAAAAATTTAATCAGTCTACATAGTATACATCTTTAAAAATATTCATAATTGAACTGTATTTTATTTGATATATTTAACCCTACTATTATTTTTGGTTTATAAATATTCTGATTTTATATGGTAGGCTATAATAATTTCAGTTTTAAATTTAGACAAGGTCTATCTATAATTTTTTTTAAATATTTAGTTGTATTACAAATGTAAGACAGACGTCTTATCAATTTTATAATTTTAAGTTTCGATGTATAATATATTACCATTTTCTACTACTATATATTAAGTGATTAGTTATTAATGAATCGATAACTCGCCCTCAATATACCTTTCCTCTACATTATATTATATCAATGAAGCCAATTATTAGGCTTGCTGTGATTTGTTTGACTGTCCATGCATTTTTTGATACCTACTTGATCCTTTTTTCTCGTCTTTATATTTTGACATTATGCTTTCCTATATATAGCATATTCGTGATTTCTTTTCAACTCCTTTTGTTTTATCATTCAAGTAATTTTAAATGGTGAATATTTTTTGAAATAATATACCTTGGTTTAAAAGAATCACTCTGTATATTATTTTACGAAATATATATGTCTTTTGGCAACTAACGTATTATGTACCTATATATAGAGAGAGAAACGTATACCTACGTAACATATTATTTTATTTACAAGAGTCAATTAAAGATGCCTATACAATGTACAATACACAAAAAATGTTCTCATCAATTGTGATAACCATTTGAATTCTATTTAATAAATGATATATTTGATAATAATAAATACATACATAATATGTTATAGTAAATTAGGAAAACGTTCACATGGACGTTGTAAATTAAAAACCAATTAAAGAACAATTAAAGACATTTTATTTAAACGTATATCTATTTTTTGTCAATAAGTTGTATTATTATATTTATTAAAAATATGTAACTAATATAAAATTGTCTATTATATTTATTTAAAATAATTTATATAATTAACTGAAATAATTTTGACATAGTTATTTTGTAGTATATTTTTTTAAGAATTACAGTATTGTGATGGTTGTTTTACCTTGTTCCATAACAATAAACAGATTAGGTCAATTGACCAGTGGTGGTCAAGTAATTTTGTCATTTGGAGGGTGGGAGGTTCGGCTAATTTTTTAACATGAGCTAATTTGATCATTCAAACTATAATTTATTTATTATAAACATTGAAAAAAGGTCATCCGGGAATCTATTACCTTTCCATGCCCCATCCAAACGTTTGACCACCGCTGATTAATATTATAGAAAGTTGGTTAAAGGTATTTATTTACATAATCTAAAACAACAGCTGATGCCTATAATATTCAAACATAAAGGTTATTAATTTCTCATTTGAATAACAATTGACATAAAATGAATTTAAAAAATATTAATATTTAGATAATAGTTATTTTGTCGTGAATAAAAGTATAACTGGAATTTCTGGAACAACCAAACAAATGTTATCGAATGAATAAATTATTATTTTATAAAAGTAAACACGGAGATTAATTAATGTCTATTGAAAATACGTATCCTTTATATTGATATTAAATAATTAATTTGGTATAATAATTAAAAATTGTAATAAACTAAGGGATGAGAGGTGTTATTTATTTTATATGACGGGTACCTATGCATATTTAATAACATTGCGGGATTGGAAATGATTTGTTTTTAAATATCCTATTTTTTCTGCTTACCAATATCTTCTATTTATTCACAATAAAGCATTTCTTTAGTTTTCACTAAATAAAACAACAAACTCGTAATTTGTCTTGTGCCTAAGTAACATAATATCATACTGCAGTTTACACGTATGTATTACGTAATTGAGCACATTTATGCGTGAGCATACTTCAATATATTTTGTAGTTATTAAGGGTACCTACGTGTTTAATATTTTTATATTCCTACAACATACCTAATATTGTCTAAAAAATGTAGATACACATATTATAACTTTGACAGTAAATTACAGTTAAATATGTAACGAGATGCCAAAGTGTAATGCACTATAATATATATAGTATGATTTTATTTTAACATTCACAAATTGTAGTATCAAATAAATGTTTTGATTAATTGGCATAATTATAATAAGAGCGTATTAGAAACTAAGTTTACTAGACAAATTTGTAATTTATAATTTTGTGATGTCGGTTTAGGTATAGGGTATAGCCGATAGATAATAGGTACCTATATATACATTGCAGTGATTTATTTATTGAAATACTATTCTAGTATGTTAAATCACGCTCGCTGAAATTTCTTCAATGTAGGTAGTAGGTACTTAGTAGCATAGTAAAGTTTTCCTTACTTTTAAAGAAACTTCTAAAAAAAGAATTAACAAATTGCACTCAAGGAGTAATTTATAACATAATATCCAAGTCCATCTCAAGATGATACAATAACATGATCGATACACTTAATTAATGTATTGTTTTTCGATTAAACTTTAAAAGTTGTAACTATTGAAGTACGATGAGTTGGAATAATAATACAAATAAAAAATCAATTTGGTTTTAAACGCCTCTTATGTTTCAAATATATTAGGTTTATTATTTGTTTACAATTTTTCAGGTATATAGTAACGCTGATGCACTTTATAAAAGGAAACATAGGCTGTGGAATGTTGGCTATGGGAGAAGCCTTTAAGATTGGAGGCTTATACCTTACATTGTGTATTCTGTTATATGTGTGGCTAATTAGCCTCTGCAATATGCATATTTTGGTAAGTTTTTCAATTAAATACATAATTGATTGAACAAAACACACATATTTATTTTATTCTTGGTAAATTAATCTTTATGGTCATAGGCTTATAACAACAGGTAACATTTGCATCATGTTCAGAAAAACAATTTTAAATTTGTTCACAGACTACAATAAGTAAAAAAGTGCAGATTCGTTTGCAAGCCAAACGTGCACCAACATTTGGCGATACCGTCGAAAATGCATTCAAAATGTCTGACAAATGGATATTTCGAAGTATATCAAATTACATTAAGTGAGCATTTAAACTAATAAATGTTGCATTACACGTTATATATTTATCTTTTTCATGTAGAAAGATTGTTTTTTATAACATACTTATCACACAACTTGGTTTCGGCAGTGTATATATTCTTTTTATCAGCACTTCATTACAAAAGGTAAACTTGAAAAAAAAAATATGTATTACATATTTATTATAATAATAATATAAGATAGTTACAGATTAATATATTTGTGTTGGGGAGTATATGTATATAAATGTGACTGGTCAAATAATGATAAAAAGGTGATAAAGTTTTATACATTTTAATTTGCTACTATGGGTAATCTATTTATTGTTTGATTGTGCTATTATATTTGTTCCAAAAACACTAAACAAATAATACATTTTCGTTTATCAGTAATAAAACTTAATATTTTTTTTTAGTGAAACAAAATCATAGTAGCTAGTAGAAAGTATTAACATAAATACTTTCTAAGGTCATCATAGCTCTTATTAAACACAATTTTTTGGAAATGTTATTCATTCGAATGGCCTCGAGACTCAAGTTCTGAATATAAACCTAATTCAATTTACAATAAAAACTTCCGTTATGAGTAGCTTTGATTATTAGCATGAATGCATGATTGCATTATTATATTATTTACAAAAACAAACTATTATATTTTAATTAAAATACTTCAAATGTTCCGCTTTATTAACAAAAAAATGATATCGATTGGTTTTCAAACACTTACCGATAATAATTGGGGCTTACGAGTACAATTAAAGGTTCGTGCAATTTTGTTTCTGCAGATACTAAAAAAAAATTTGGTACCTAAAATTCAACTTATAATTTATTGCACAAAATGTAACACTTGCGTAGATGGCAATTAATTACACTTAATACACTTCTTGGGTTAGGTTAATTTCTTCATTATCATCAATCATAAATGTATAAGTATTAAGATCCAGAGATCATAATTTATTATAACTAACTCGAAATTTCAGGAAAGAAATTCCAAAATGATTAATTCTGGTTTTGGAGAGAACTTTATTTTTTTAACGTAAAAAGTTGTTAGTACCTTAAGGTAATACTTAATTAGGTAGTAGTTAATAATATTCCGGTTAATAATTAATAAATAAATACTATCATACTTTGTAACAAGATTTATATAAATCAATATAGGTATTAAAAACAAACATTGTAAAAAAAAATATAAATACTTGAAGCTTATATAAGATCAAATAAATAATAAACAAACACATAATAGATATAATATTAATTAATTAATAATTAGTGATGAAAATCACTAATCTTACACATTAAAAGACTTAGTACATTTATTTGTTTGTTTTTATTTTGTTTTAATTAGGTACATATAATTATAAGTATTATAAATCGAATAGGAATCGTGGATTCAAAAGAGATAAAAAGAAACGCTTAACACAATAAATAATTTCTTGTACGTGTAGGAATAATTGTTTAAAAAAATTCGTTAAGTAAATAAAGAATAATTGTATTTATTATTAAATAAATTATAATTTACATTTATGTATTTTATCCTAGCATTTAGAGTGTAGAAAAATAGTATTTATATTTGAATTATTTATTATTACATATTTTGTAGTATATACAGTAGATTGAGTTAGTATTTAATCTTTATATTTTAATCGTTTATATTTTCGGTGTTTTATCTTATTAGTCCTTAAATTATTTTGTTTTTGTTTTAATTATTTTGCAGCTGTTACATCAATACTCATATGAGATTAATATTCAAACAGTTATATTATTTACAATGCCTTTGATAATGGTAGGTGCATGTTTGAGAAGATTGCGATTTATAGCACCATTATCAACTGTGGCCAATGTTGCATTGATTACTGGCGTTGTTACGATAATGTATTATAGCTGTTCTGGGCCATCAGCTAAGAATGTTAGATATTCATATGCTAAATGGTCTGAATTGCCAACGATGTTTGGAATAATAATGTTTAGTTTTGAAGGAACTGGATTGGTAAGTATATAATTTAGATTTCATTATTTATTAAAATGATTGAATTATTTATGATAATTGCTTATGTGTATAGTGTAATTTTAGTTAAGTTAAGTCTAATCGTAATGGTACTAGAAAAATAATAGAATAATAATACTATTTTGATTTTATATAATAATTAATAACTACTGTGTAGTGTGTACTTCTATTTTTAACCAAATAATTAAGTAATTATAATAAATCATTAAATAACACGTAATTATACTATACTTATAGATTAATTGTCTAAGTATGCACTATTTAAATAGTTCAGTGCTGACAATTTACTGTCTTAATATTATTTATTGCCTATGCTGATGTATTATATTATGATATTTTAACTTATTCTAGTACAGGATGTCCCGTTATGATATACCCATTAGCCGGAGAGGGGGAATTGCCGCCCGTACAAAACCGGGTTTTTGCTGTTTTACCTATTAACTAAAAATTGATTAAAAATCAGGAGATTACTAAAATTAGAATGTTGAAACTTTAATATTTTCAGAAAAATGATCTCTACAAAATGGCTATCTTCAATTTTTTTTAAAATAATTAATAAAAAAAATATATTTTTCAACTTTTATACCGAAACATAAGAAAAAAATTAAAACATGAATTATTTGTAGTGCTTATCTCTGTTAGTCTTAATAAAACACCAGAATTAAGATGTCTACATTATTTCAGGAGATATACAGTTTTCAAAACTAATCTCCTACATATTTGTAAAATAAAAACATTTACAAAAAACCAAATATACTCATAAAATACTTACTACATTACATGATTACACCAGGGAAATATTAATAAGTATAAAATAAGGTAGCCATGTATTTCGGGGTAAGTTTACCTATATATTTGAACTCTGTCTAGCTGCGTTTCCGACGCTCGACGCTCAACGCTTTGTAAAACATCTTTTTATTTTGAAGTTCACTGTAAACATCGGACAGATGGAACAACGGGTGTATTTCTATTCCATTGTTCAATTTTCCGTGGGTATGATCGGGTCTATAAAACTATATTTAAACCTTGCAAGACAGTAGAGCTATCTCACCAGTGAAAACCACATTTGAATCCATTCAGTAATTTCGGCGAAGAAGTAATGAAAAACCACTCTCATGTTTTATAAGTAGTATTCAAATATAATATGGATGTACTAATAAAAGTTCATCATAGATAATCATAGTATACATTAAAAGAAAGAAACATCAAATATGTTAGTACACTTAGATAACATTAAAAAAAAATTAATTCTTCATTCTTTCTTTCCAAGTATAATTTATCAGTATTCAGCGTCATTATTATTTATTGTAACATTATATTTTAGTGACTTATACCTAAGTTATAATAATGTAAAATATACAATGTAGAACGGCGCATATGGTAGGCAATTCTCCTACACTCGTGTATTGAAACACATAATATGATATAAATACATTTTATATTAATTCATATTATATTATAAAACATTTTGAATATAAATTAAAATATTTTTCTATTAATAAACTAAAAACGGTGAATAAAAATTATAGAAATAATAATGTATTTTGTTTTAGCATAATATTATTATGTTAGTCAAGTTAATATGCTCATAGCTTTAAAATTAAAGTAGTTTTTCATTGCAATATTTTATTATAATAATATTACTATGTCTAAAATTGATAATTTGTGAACCATCTATACAGGTTTTACCTCTTTTTGCGGAAATTGACGATGATAAAAAGTTTACATCGTGTTTTGGAGTCTTGAATTTTGGTATGGTAGCTGTAATGATGTTAAACGTGCCTTTGGGTATGACTGGCTATTCAAAATGGGGAGAGGAAGTAAAAAGCAGTCTAACATTGAATTTACCACTTGATCACGAGTGAGTTAATCGACTAAATAATGTAATATAATATTATGTAAAAGTATAATATATATATTTAAAATTATTTTTAATGTTTATTTGCCCGGACGTTTGTTGCGCATGTGTAGGGGGGTATGTTTGAGATTTGAGGTACCTACCTACTTCAAAGAATTTATGAACTTATAATTACATAAAATCATAATATACAGTTGTAAATATTTAGTATTTTTTCCAACAGATTAACGCAATTTGTAATACTCATGATGATATTGGGTATAGCTTGTTCATATGCACTTCAGTTTTACCTTGCAGCCGTAATCGTCTATAATGACCTTGAAAAATACTACGGCCCTTATAACCATCCTGCAGTATGGGATTATAGCATACGGATAAGTTTATGCCTTTTAACTTGTAAGTAAATAGATATAATATATTTTTATTTGACAGTAGTAAATTCGCACTTAATATATAAACACGCTTATGTAGTTATGTTTTATACTCACGGATTACTTTAGGTGTATAATACAATATAATAACTATATTTTATAATATTATTATTTTAGGAAATTAAAACATTTAAACTTCTAAAAATGTATAAATATTATTAACATTGAAATATGAGTATGTCATGTTCTGTGCTTTAATATATTACGTTTCTAGAGAATTATATTTCACGGCTTCACACTTATTCAACACAATAATTGTGCTAATTTAATTAAATTTTATAAAAGCGGTATTAAAATTAATATTAAACTGTTGTTGAAATAGATATGACTTTTTTTACAAATTCTCTTGGTTACTAAACAAATATATAATTTAGATCACTTATCATAAAAAAGATACTTTATACTAAATAAACATATTGTATAATCAATTTGATTAGCTGAGAGACGTCCATTTAATGTTATTAATAATAATTATTGCAAAATAACGAATTAACCAACCGAAAACAGCTGTAATCTATATAAATCATTATTAGTTATTACACCTATATTACTATGAGCTGTATTTCCTGTATTGTCCAAAATGTAATATATTGTATCTAAAATATCTTGAATTAAATATTAAAGTTTTTTAGACTTTAACATAGGTAACACACTAAACTAAACTATAATATTATTAAATATAATAATTTATTATATTATGATGAAGCTGTGTATTGTGAATTGAATGTTGATTAATGGTGAATAGTGATCGTATTACTTTTAGCATACTTGATACATATATAAATACGCTTCTGTAGTTATATTTTATACTCTTGGTATATTTTAGCACATTGGCGTAATTACATTAAATTTCAACAGGTGCAATATTTGTATAGGTTTAATAGTCATTAAAACAAATCAAGTCACATTTAAAGCCAAACGCTTTGCTAGCGTTCACTATCTTTTTATATTAATCGATTACATACAAATATCTAAATCTTTATATTATAAGCCCTGTATGTGTGTGTATATTCATATAAAAATACAATATTTGTATAAAATAAAAAATGTTATTTTGTTAAAATGTATAGTCTATAGTCTATTATAAGTCTATGATAATGACACTGTTATTATTGATAAGTGGTAACAAAACTATTACTTAAAACTATTAAAACTATTACTTTAACGTTATTTTACTATTTATTCAGTTGTATCGTCTTTAATCAAAAAACAAAAAAAAATCATGAAATATTGAAATTGTTTATTGTATTATATTTTATTACGATTCAGCAGGTTCAAAAGCATATCTTTGCACCGGCTACATATATCAAGCAACACCTGCTATATTTAAATTATTTTAAATTTGATTTAAGGGTCTTAAATTTTAACATAGTTTTCAATTCTATTATGCGTGAGGTACCTGTATTGTGAATTGAATACTGATTATACATTTTTTTGAATTTATAATGATATTAATAGTCATCGTATTACTTACATGCTTCATAAAATTATCATTTAAAAAAATCAAAGAACATGCGAGATATAAATTTATAATTTTTTTTTTTTTATACATTTTAGACCTGGCTGCCAGCACAGTCCCACATTTGGACCTATTCATGTCGTTAGTGGGTTCTGTAACTTGTGTTGCTCTCACAATGATTTTCCCTGCACTATCTAATTTGGCGTTCCGGACGAAAGATAAAAGTTCATTTTTCAGTTCAGTTTTTGATATGATAACCATATTTACAGCAGTGATTGGTTCAGTCACCGGAATCTACGCAAATACAACTGCCATTTATGAAGCGTTCTCACAAAACCACAGTAATGGCTAAATCTGACTCAAACGTTTGGTTGGTTGAATTTCCGTTGTACATTATTATAATTATGTCCCCACGACACCCATGTATACTATTAAATACATTTAGATCACTGTATATTTGCCGTTTTATTTTTGTTCTTATATTAATAGTCAGTTGTTTCTGATAGTAATTCTATTGTTAAGAAAAATAAAATAATTAAAAGTGAAAGTTAGAAGACGAAAGAATAAAATAAAAAACGTGTAACGAAGAAAAATATAAAATAAATTGAGAAAATGAATCTCAAGTAGAGCTAATACTCAGTATTAACTTTTTTTTATGTTAGTTACCCTATTTTATCTGTAAGAGTAGGTATATTTTATAAAAATATATTTTTCTATATTACTAGTTATGCGACTGACCTAATTTAACTGGAATTTAAAATACCTAATACAATAAAATATTTATTGGAATTACATGATTTTTCCACACAACTTTTACATATTTTTTCGTTACAAATTTATTACATTTTTAGTGCATTAAATTCGGTTTTGAGTTCCCACTTTTAAACTTTGTATTATAAAGGTATTTTTCCATAAAAATGTATTAATTCATACCTATTAAAAGTATACAATAATAAACATAATTTTAAAAATACAAATACACCGAACATGATTTTTGATTTTTAATATTCATTGTTTTTAATATTACGAGTAACTATTTAATGAAAAATAATTATGTTAGTTTGAATAACTTATTATTTTTACTATTTAAATTATTTATACATTATAGGTATCTGAAACAAAATCATCAACTTATCATCAGTTTTTCTATATGATATCATAAAATTAGTTGGGCAACTATACATAAATATGAACTAATGTTAGATGTTGTTAGAACAAATTATTTTTATGGATGTTCTATGCATAGATGGTTGATAATAAATCTCTAAATATACCGTACACTCTTAAGCAATAAGCACCGACATTTTGACCGCTATTTTGAAATGTCCTCTATTCAAAGGGTTCAGATTGTAAAAAGTTTGTAGTTTGTTCCCAGAACAACGTCAGCTTGAATGATGCCCATTGGGGGAGGTTTCACTGTTTTATACTATAGGAAATATAATAAACTTACTCGGTACTTACCTAAGTACGCATTGCACAGCATTAGATTACAATATAGAATATTCTAGATTTACCTTTTATATAATTATATATTATATAATACACTTAAGTGAATAGGTTTGTAGTACATCATCTGATTATCGCTAAACATCAGTTATATTAAATGTATATACCAACTAATATACCTATAAGTCTATTTAAATTGTATGGGGTTCAAAATCAGCATTCTATCAGTTTTCGATTTGTTTTACCTTTATACCTAAATACACAAAGTAAAGACATAGTCTGTGTCTATATTATAATAAAGTTGAAAAAATTGTGTGTGTATGAATAATACTTGGTTATAAATGATTAAATAATATTCACTAAAACGTTATTCTACTCGTCTTCATAATCTATCTATTAATAATTATTCCATGCAGGTAATAACATGTAACTTATTTATCTTATTTTTCTAAGAATTATCAATCAAACAGACAACAGTGTTGCCTTAAAATATTTTATTAGATGTATAAATGCTATCAGAATATTAGATACCTATTATTAACTTTTTACATTACGTATTTGTTAAAAAATTCAGATAGTTACCTATAAAATAAATTTGTCTTTCGATAAAGTTATCACGAAATATTTTAAACGTATAAACTTGAATTTAATTCGTGTAAAATACTTATATTATTGCAATAATAGTTCACATTTTTACATTTTTTTTTAGTTAAAATCCCTTTCTAAAATCCCTCCTTTTCTTCTCAGTTGAAATTTGAATTCTATTTTTTTTCAGACAATATTAACTTGTAATGTTTTTTTCTGTCTAAAATTGTTGATAGTTGATTGATTGAGAGTATGGTTATATATCAGTGCATATAATATGTGTATTTATCGAATTTTTTACCATCTACAATTTTACAAATTTTCATAAGAATTAATGTGATTTGTTGAAACTTTAACTTACTTTCAAATCTCAAACACTCAACTTTAAAGATATAAAAACACTTTATAAGACAATTAATAACAATTATGTATACAAATTCAACTCAAAAAAGGGAGTTGCAATTCAGAAAATTTGATTTTGCTGTGAAAACTAGAAAAAAAAGTTGTAAAACTTGAATTTATTTGAATAGGTATCTTATTGCATAGTAAAAAAAAATCAGTCAAATTCAAGGTCATGTGTTTGAAATATTTCTGTTCATATTATGGGTAAATAGGTAATATATTATACATATAGTACACAGGTACAATGAATAACCAATAACAACAGAGAACTTGTAATAATAAAAATAAAACATATTATAAGAAATAAACCTTTGATTTTATTAAGCTTTAATTTGCTTTAATTTACACTGTATCACATTGTTAGCAAATATCAATGTATTAAGAGTTTATTATTTATCTGATAATTTTTTGTGATAAAAATATTTTTTATTTTATTTTGAAAATGTATTTTATGTGTAATATAAAAATTCTGGTGGAAACGTTAAGACCATCGTGCCCCCTCTCCCCGACATAATTAATAGGCTACGATGCAATGGAAATTAAGTCGATATATATTATTTTATATTAAGTTCCGTTGAATTTTTATAATTAATCTAATTTCTATATTTAATAATATTGTTACTATCTACCTATATATGATAAATCTATAGCATAGATTTATAACCTATAATCTATGTATATCATAGTGTAACTTATTATTAATATTTTGGAATGTCTAAAAATATTATATTTGATATGATCACTATTCACTAAATTTAAATAGTATTCTGTATTTTTCTTAAAATCCAAATTCTTAATAAATTATATACTTATATATACTACCAACTGCCAGTGGTTATCATATTATGATAATAGTACTATGTACATATATTTTAGAACATAATAACATGTGTATAATATTATAACAAAGTATATACCTAGGTACCTACTCGCGATGACTACCTTAATTCACTGATTTCATTAATTCAGTTAAACGCATTTACTTAGATTTAGGCTGAAATAAAATCTGATAATTGTATTTGTGTTAATCTTATATATACATTAACATTTTAAGTGCACATATAAATTATTGTCGGCTGTCGCCAAGAAGAAATTATGATGCAGGATTACAAAATAAATTTGATTATAAATTGTATACAATACATTAGTACATATTATAGCCATACTATATAAGTACCACGTTTATATTAAAAGTTTATTGATAATATTATGTTTTTTTCCAATTTAATTACATTTTCGTGTAACTGCTAAAACGTATTTTAAATATTATTTATAAATAATTTAAAGTAGATGAAAACTAATGAAACAAAATTTAATTGGAATTTAACTATCTGATGATGAGTGATATAATATGATGGAGTCTTTTAATTGTAGAAAAATAAAATACGTAAGCAAATTGGAGTTCATTATTACCCACCTAATATCTACTAGATATCTCAAGTACCAAATTAATTATACCTGACATTATTATTATTGTTTACTTTATATATTTCATTCAGTGAAAGTGTTAAATATTTTTTTTTTTAGGGGAGCAATAAAAAGAAACAATCACTAGACCAGTAATTCTATTGAACCATTGAACTTGAAAACATCAGAAACAACCAAGGAAAAATGGTTCATGCAATGGTATTAAAAAGTAAACCTCGAAAATGGATGGTACAGAAATTAGTTAATTTTCAGTTGGTGGTTTTATTAACTATATAATACACCAATTTAAAGACTTCATTTTAGTTTATATAAGTTACATCTAAAGGTTTACCATATACTTTTAAGGTGCTATATATATTATATTGTATTAAAACTACTGTATCAGTATACATATATGTATAAAATACCTTATATATATTATATATTATTATGAACTTCGATAAAGTATTATTCGTTTCTTAAATACATTAAACTACAGCAGTCATAGTTTTCTACAGAAATAAATAAATTTTTAGTGTATAATAGAATATTCATTTTGTTTTCACAAAATAATTTGGTAACTAACCAATATAAAATAATATTACTATGTTTAATGTTTTCTCGATTTTACATTCACACACAATATTATGTTCGTTCACACGAAAAATAGCTTCTACTTTTAATTCAAACAATTTTTAATTTACACTAATTTAATAAACATATAGACTATTATAACACATATTATTACACTTACATAATATACATCAAGCTATTGATACATTCATTTCTCCCCATTTCCTGCTATTTAGTATTTCTTTATCTTCAATTCAAAATGGCGATGGCCGAGTTACGGCACCAAATGCACATGCAAGAGGTAGAAAAAAAAATCAAACTATTGCAGATGAATTGGTTCATAAAGAACTACGAAGAAGCAAATGAAAACCCGGATAAACTAAAACCAACAGTTTCGATCCAATCGACCAAACTCATCGACGAGATTCGGGGAATGAGAACCCTGATCAAAGACATAAATGGCAAGTTAGAAGAGTACCAGAAGGAAATAAACACGAAAAAGTCCAAAAAACCAGACGAGAATGCACCAGAAAGTTTTGAAACAGACATTTCGTACATGTACCCTGTACCATTCGATATCGAACAACAACTGTACAACGGTATAAGATAATATAAATTAAACGCATCGTAGTAAATTAACATACATACAGGGTGTTCCATTTAAGTGTCTAAACTCAATATTTCAAAAACTTAATTATTTTGAAAATATTTTACATCATTTGATGTCATTTGAGAACAGCAAACATTTGTTATCGTTATAATTTTAAGATAGATCTCGTGTATTTTATTAATTGCATTCCGAAACAAAATATTATTTGAAATATTGAGTAAAATGGTTATCATTATCAAAATATTATTGCTATCATCAGAATTTTCGGTTGCACTCATAGCAGTGGCGGATTTAAGGGGGGGACCGAAGGGTCTCGCCCCCTCCCATTAGCATAAGTTAAGTTTTATTAATTCAATAGTGTTCATTTTAATTTTTACAATTTTATCATTTATATGGTTTCGCTCAAACACATTACTTTTATTATGCGGCTATAAAGACAATTCGCCTTAACGCAGATCGCCTATTTCTGCCGTGTAACTTTCCCACTAGCCATCGCTATCTTATCTTAATTTATTTGTCACCCGATTATAATATAGATTTAACCCATATTCCATATCTTATATTGGTATTATAATGGTATTTAAAATGTTAGTAATGTCACGGTCGGCGTTGTAATTCATACTGTTGTCCGTAGTTTTCGTTTGTGGCTTCAAGTTGAATTGTTTTGTTTTAAAATGTCACAAAAACGACAAAGTGAAATAATATTTTTTTTTTTTTAAATTGAAAACAAGCGATGAAAATATTCCATCTCATCCAAATGAAGGTATGGAAAATTTAATCATGTTATACCACCAGAGTCAGAGCCAGCTGCATTTTCTGATTCGTATAAGTAGTCAATTTTTACAGTCAATATGATATTGCATTTGCTATTGAGGAAACTTCAAATCTAAAAATTCGAAACGAACCAAATATGCTTTACAAATATTTAAAAGAAACGTGGTCACCTAGACAAAGTTATATTTTCCATGTAAGTATGAATAAAAAAGGTCTTAAAAGAAGCTTTCAAATTGAATGGCTAAATAAGCACAACTGGTTAACTTATTATATTCGTAATAGAGAAGGAGCGTTTTTTAAAGTATGTGTAATTTTTGGACCCAAGTTTGGTGGGGTTGAAGAAAGACAAAGACAAATCCTTGGGATTTCAAAAGAAATTCCTATAATAAGACACAAATATGCTTTACAAGATTTTAAGATACATATGGAAAGAGAATATCATAAAACAGCAATTGTGCGGTCTTCAGAATTTATAAAATGTTTTGACGGCAAACAATAGAAATTCAACTAGATGACCAACTAAATGAAACTGTCAAAGAAAATAAAAAGAAGTTAATTCCTATAGTTAAAACAATTATTTTCTGTGGTCATCATAATATACCTTTAAATTTCTTACAATATTATAATAATTTAAATATAATCTTTAATAAATAAAAAAAAATAAGAATTTAAGATTTCAGATTTGCGTTTAGGACTGTGCCCCCCCCCCCCAAAAAAAAAAAAATTAAAAATAAATCTATGCTTTCGACGAGTATTTTTTTGAATTTAATATCCATCCAATTCGTTTTTGCCTACTTAAGCCCCCCTCAATAAGAAAATCGATATAATCTCCGTCCATCGATTTAGAGTCGTCTGCAGATACCTGAAATATTGTAATACACTGTGCTTTGACGGCTTATATATTTTATACTATATGCTTTACTATGACGCGATTGCACGACGTGCGTCCCCACGATACGCCCAACGGTAT